CTGAATAGACACATTGGTAAGAGAATCTAGAGAGTGCCTGAAAGCTAGGTGAGTTAATTGCATTATGCTTTCACCGAGGATCACTTATACAACCTGGCTTAGGCATACGGGAACAAGTCACATGGTAACTGAGGTAAACCTCTGTACCGTGTCCAAAGTTCATTGTTGTCCTTCCCGTGGCTTTGTGAAAGAGGGAGGGCTTCCCTGAGTAGAGGAGGCTTTCTTATGTATCTTGTTCAAGACCCTGTGTATACTGAAAGGTCTGGTAACTGCCTCATCACCTTGGGCTTTTGTATGTCTTCCCACCTCCTAATCTTGGGCTTTTGTATGTCTTCCCACCACTACAATATTCGCTTCATGCTAGTATGGTGAGTGAACGGAAATACGTCTGTCTGACTGAAAGAAGTGGCTCTGCTTCAAGATAGCCTCCACTTTTAAATATGGAAATATGATCTAGGAGTGTGAAACTACTGTGGCTCTCTAAAAGAGCGCCTAGCAGAATGTGAGAGTCTAAGTATTCAAATACAATTACTGCATAGATATATTTATCAAAGAGGTAACACCAAGGTTCCTCACTTCCCCATAAAGTTCTTCAGAGGTCTAACAAACAGGATTTAGATGAAGCAGCTTACTGAGGGTAGAACACTTGCACTCCTAACTATAACAACCCAGTACTTTAAGCTTTACTTGATGTCCATATCTGTAGTCTCTGAAGAACATGAATACTGTAGGCTGTAGTACTGCCTTCATGCATGCCAAGAGGTATCCTTGACAGCCTGCTTTCTTTTAGGTCTTTCATAGGAAATGGATGTTGGTGCGCTTGTTTCAGTTCCTTGGTTCAGCCCTTTTTGCCCATTTGTTGAGGCCCAAGGCAGAGCATGTATTTTGAGGACACCAACTTATTTTAGTGACTTTAATTGTTGTATTTACTTGACTAGATGGGCTGCATTGTGGCTTGCTACACTCTTCTTCCAGTTGGATGTGGGAAAATGAGGGCTGGGACTGAGAGTTAATATTTCTTTTAGAGTCCAAGGTAGAACCTGAGACTTGTTGCAGGAATGGATAATGGCAAAGGACTGTGTGTGTGCACATGTGTTTGTGTGTGTGCAGGAACTGAAATAATCTTAAAATCTATCTTAGCCTCCTCATGCCACTACAGGTATGCATGAATGCACTCAAATATGTTTTAACTCTAAAGGGATTACTGCTGTTACTATAGTAATGTCTGAAATATTGATTGTGAGCCACAGACTAGCTCAGCTTACGGGAAGAAGCAATATTTTGATACTGGTCCCTGTAGGAAAGAGTTGTTGATTCATCTCAATTGGCAAAATAAGTGCTAGCTAAAAAAACCTAATCGCCTAGAGGTTATAGCATGGCAGATACAATCCAAAAGGAAATAAACCCTCAGCAATTTTCCTCTCTTAGCTGTTACATCTTGCTTTTGTTATAGGTTTTTTATGAACTAGTATCTCTGACAAGTTCCTGCAAATATTTTTTTGTTTGCTTAGCTGGCTTCTAACTCAGTAAGAAATTTCACTCTCTTGATCTTGAAAGGTATTCCTCAACTATGGTGATTCTGACTCTCTCAGCAAATATTTTAGAGGGTATTTTTGTAGTTAGAATCACATACGATTTGTACAGCTCAGAGAGTACTCATTGTTCTAACACGTAGTTTATGGAACAGTACTTCTGGAACTAGGCGGGACTTGGTTTCTGTCCTGCTCACTTGCCCTACCTCCACTGGGGTATCTACTAATTGTTTAATGAGTGTTATTTACAGTTCTTCTGTTTATGTGAGTCTGAAACAGGGTAACACTACTGGAAAGGAGCTTCAGGACTGCTAACACAATTGCCTAGGCTTCTTTACAGACAGCTTATTCTCAAGGACAATTTTCCAATCCTCTAGAAAACTGTATCAGTACCAAGTGTTTATACTGAAGTTGACTTTATTCTTCTGTATTATCTATGATGAGGGGGAGAATAGCCCCTCATTCTTGTAAGATCTGTCTTTGATTACAGAATCTTAAAAAAAAAAATCTTTTTCCAAATTGTCCTATGAATTCATTTAATAAGGCAAATTCACAGTGAATAACTGTACCGCAGAAGGATACACTAGAAGAGTTATCAAGAATCCAAGTAGTGTTAACCTAGCAGCAAGCAAGTGATGGGGGGAAATGTAGGCAGGCTTTTCCTGTGTGGGAAATCTATACAGATTTTCCAGACAGAGAACAGACTCTCAAGGTCTTGCCTCCTCTGTTAGATCTCAGCAAAATCTTTTCAACACATTCACTGGAACGTTCCCTGAATGCTCTTTGAAAGATTAGTAATCAGCTCATAATCTTCCTAATTCTTGCTCCAAAGACACCTACAGTCAAATGGATAGAAACTAGAGTTGGCTGAGAACTGCTGCAGGCTTTTCTTCTCAGAGGATTAAGACCTATTAGTCCTTGTACATATTCCTTCACAGTGGTGTGTTTGGTTTTGTTTAGTTTTTTACAAACGGAAAATTGTAAGAGGAATTTACAAGGATTTTTTTTCTTTAGTGCTTACATTTCAAGTGAGAAGGGGAAGAATGATTAAACTTGATTAAAGCCAACTAGGGTGTGGCTTTGAGATGTCCTTTTCGACTATTATTACAACTACTTCAGTGGGAGCATGCACTGTGGCAGCTTGCAAAAGACCAAGCAAAACTCAGTAATGGCTCTGCCATTCACAGGGCTTGTATTCAAACTTCAGTAGCAATTATAATGCCTTAGCTATCTTGGAAAGCAATGATTTGATGTAGTTATCTCTTCCATGATTATTTTAGTATGCATCTTGGTTGTGACTAGAGAGAGGTCATTGATAGATACAGCCTTAGATCTGCACAAAAGAATATAAATGAACTAAAGGACTTGCTGGAGAGGAAAGAATACAATAATATAAATGAAGCCTATGAAGAGCTTATTTTGACAAAGTGTTGAACTAGACCTTTATCTTGAACTTGATGAGTATGTTGATTGAAACCCTGACACATGCAGCAATGTCTTCTACACTTAGAGTGACTACTCGTGACTACAAACTGCACATTAGTGTGATTTCCCCAACCTAGCTCTGAAAGTATTGATGCTATAGTCCGTTAACAGTTTCTACAAGAACATAAGGTATCATGTGAAGTTTTTATTCTCTGTAGCTAGAACTGGCATTGCATAACTGCTTAGGTGTGTGGCTTCTACAGAACGCCATAACTGATTCTCATCTTTAAGGGCCATCTTCCTAGAACTTGGAGACCTTATGTGTTAGTCATCCTACTGATATACTATGTATCCTGTAGTATTCTGTTAAGCAATACTGGTTAAAACCTGGTTTTGAAATGGAGGTAGTATGCTGCTCTAAATTAAAGGAGATCTCAAAGGGATTGCCTTTGGAGTTGAAAAATAGAAAGGGAATCATGCCTTCAGCAGAGGACAATAATTTGCATGATTCTTGTGAACAGTATAAAAAAAGATTTCAGGTTGAGCTGTGTGGGAAGACATGACTGTACCATGAGTGAAATACAAAGCATGTACGAGCCTGTCTACTGCTATTGCACTACTAATATATTTCATGTGCTTCAGATCTGTTCTGGAAAAATATTAATATCACTAGAGTATCTTTCCATAAGTTGCCAGTGAAGAAACTTATTCAAATGCAACAGGAGTAAGGCAGAACAGTGTGTCTGTGGAGCATTAACTGAAAAGACTGAATTTTGCAGGACAGATGAACACATTCGTATTGGGTTCCCTTCCCCTTTTTACTTTGCTCAGCTGGGTGGAAATAGCAGATGCAGCAGTACAGTCTATGTAAGATTAATAGGGACACTGAAAGCCTATACTTCTGCTGCTTCTTAGACTGAAGGACCCGGCTTATCTCTAGACTGTATTCTCAACTTGCAAAAAACTTTTAGAGTGTATCTACCTCCTGGTCATTGAATCTGTTCAGTTGTCTTTCTCCCTTAATCTCTCTCTAGTTCTAATGAAAGCCAGTATATCAAAACTACATGTATTTTTTAACAAAGACAGTGACAGGGAAGGAATCAGCAGGAAGTGGACACGGGTATGAAGTTACCCGCCTTTTAGCAGACTTTGACCTCGGCTGGCAGAATGGGGAGAAGTGGACATTGATAGATTTTTAGCAAAGAACACTATGATACTATAAACTAATCATAGGACAAGGCGGGGTGGGGTAGTCTAACAGACCTCAGGGAGCTGGCCGCTTTCTAAACTTTTTTTGGAAGCACTACTCAGAGTGGCGATGAAGCCGCTCTTACGCAGAGGCTGGCCACAAGGAGCTGAAGGACTGACTGTAGGTGCAAGTTTCTGATTGACGGCATCGGAGTGGCCGGGTCTGCACGCAGTACTGCCCGAAGCCCTTCCAGACACGAGAACCGTTCCGGCTGCGCTTTCTTGGAGCTGCTGGCCGGGCGGCGCGGCGGATCCCGGCGAGGGCGGATGGCGCCGGCACAAAACCAGACTGGCAGCGCTGGTTCAGGTGTGCTGAACCGGCTCGAGATGCCGCTCAGGTAACTCGGGAACCGGAGGGACGCGGCGGGAATGGCTGGGAGAAGAAGCTTTCCGGCACCTCGGCCAGTGCAGCTGGTCACGGTGGTGCGGAACTGCACCGTAGCTGGAGGTGAGGCGGCAGGATGGAGGAAGGAAGGGGCCTCGGCACGAGTTTGGTACGACGCTCCGCCTGCCCCGACCCGGCCAGCCGCACCTCCGACTGCCCACAGGGTCCGGCGGGACCAGGACCTCGGCGCTGCCCCGTCCCGGCGGCACGGGCCGGGGTGCGGCACGGGCGGGAGCCAAGGGCCAGCGGGGCGGGCCCTGCATGCAAACGAGGGGGCGCGGCCGCTAGGCAGCGGGGCGGCCGGGGCGGGAGGAGGCGGCCAGCGAGGATCTGCTCGGACCGGGCGGGAGCAGCCGGGCCGGGCCGGGCCGGGCTGGGCCGGGCCCAGCCGAGCGGGGGCGGCCGAGGAGGGCGGGGGGGTGGTATCATTGCTGGGCTGTGAGCAGTAGACGGGGCGAGGCGGTCGCAGAGATCCCGGCGAGGCGGGCAGAGAAGCGGGAACATGGCGAGCGTAGGAAACGGCACGGAGGAGAGCGGCGGCGGCGAGGAGGTAAAGGGAGGGCGGCGGCGGCGGGAGGGGTCCGGGCGTGCGGACGGCGAGCAGCCGTCCCTGCCGGCACGGCGACGGCGGGACAGGCGCGGGCGGAGGACCCGCTGCACCGGCCGCCCCGGTCGCCCACCTGCCCTGCGGTGGGGTCGGCGGGCGGCCAGCTGGACACGGAGGGGCAGGCCCGGCCGCCGGTGGTAGGGGTCGCCGCCGCTGCCGGGAGTTGGGGAAAGTTGTCCCGGCGGCGGGGCCGCGGGCGGCCTCTTCACGTATCCCGCGACCCCCGCCTGTGCTTTATTTTTAATTCAGTTTTTTTTTTTTTTATTTTCCCCTTTAAAAAGAAAAATAATTCTTCACCCCCAGCTGCTGCGCTGCTCCGTGCGGTGGTGCCGCGCCACCGCTGCGGTGCGCGTCCCTGCCCGCGGGCGGGCACGGTGTTGCGTGGCAGGTGTGCGGGCAGCGGCGCTCCCGGCTCTGCCGTCGGGCTGCTCCGAGAAGGCCCCGCGTGCGCGGGATCGCAGGACAGTGTCAGTGTCTGGGAAGTGCTGGTGAGAACTGTAGTTGGTGCAAAATGTGTTTATAATTTCGCCGTAGGGCTTCAAACAGCCCGAACACGAATCCCTTAAAACGATCGCTTGAACTTGAAGGGTTTTTTTTGTGTCCTCTCAGAGTAAAGAAAAACAGTAGCAGGATTCTTTGACAACACCTCTCGGAGACTGGTGACTGTGAGGAATTGTCCTAGACGAGGTTTTGAGAAGGGTACTGCCCAACTGAGGCAGTCTTAACTGGAGGGTGCTTTTAAATATTGACTTGATTTCTGACTGCGCAGTCTGTAATGAATGATTTTAATGTTCTGTGCATCCAGCAGCCTCTTCAGAAAGATTTGTAAGGCATGCCTCTGCCCAAATTCCGCTGAAAACAATTTATGAATCATATGAGTACTTAATAGGTTGAGTTTTTTCCAGCGCCCCATTTGTGAGGCAAGACGGTGTTTCATACAAATATCTACATCGGGCTGGGTATGCTGTGTAGTTCAGTGGAACTAGCTTGTTCTCAGTTAGAAGGTATATATTAGCCTGTATTTCAAAGCAGTCTATAAAAGTTTCTGCTTCCTAAGGTTATATGTGAAGAGGATGTGAAATGCTTGAATCTCATTGTGTGCGAATGTGAATCACTGAAAAATCATAGTGATCTCTGGGGAGCCAAGGTTTGTTTCCATTAAAAGGAGTAGGTGGGAGGTAAAAGTTATAAACAAACTCTTGGTGCTCTCAGTAAGAAAGTAGTTGGAATTCACAATTACTAAAAGAAGTATTCAGCAATTTTGTTGTAGCCTAGCTGTCCGGTGTGAACAATAGGGAAGAATATATTTCATGGAGTTTGATGTTAAGAGTCAGTGCTTTCTCAGAGGAAAAGCAGCTGCCGTGCAAAAAAAAAAAAAAAAAAAAAAAAAGGAAAGGTAGGCCTAAAAGCACATAAAACAGAGGTTATTTGAGCAATACTGTACAAAAAGTGTAAAGCTTTGTCCAGATGAACTTGAAAGACCTCATGTTCTTTGCAGAGACTTATGCTTGATTCTCAGGAGTCTGAAATAGACCTGTATTGGCAACAGAGAGAGTACTCTTGATTTTTCCTGGTGAGATCCCAGAGTTCAGTAGGAGAGGGCAAATAGTGGTTTGGTCTTGGGGAAGGTCACGGCTTTTGTAACAGAAATTATCTAGACCACTGTGTTACGACATATAGAAGAAACAGTAGACTGCCCTTGCCTACAGGTTCACTATAGTCTCTTTACTAATAAGCTTGATGTGATTTCAGCACTTCATACATGTGATAATTGTTTCTAAATGTCGTAACTTTTTTTTAATGTTTGCAATGGTTACAATGCTGAGAAACAGACATAAAAGAACATTCTTAGCTTTGTTTTTAAGAGCTACATGCATCTAAATAATGTTGTTTACGTGGAACATGGCAGATGGGAGCTCTGCTTCCTGATTTAAGTGTAGTGCTTAGTGCTTAGTGCTTTATGAACATAGCTTTTAGAGTAGTATTTTGTTTTGCAGGAATACTTCTAGTACTATGTGTATATACATATATGTATTTGTGTATATATATATTTATAAATATATGTATACTTGTGAATACCTCTTCACCCCTGAAGCTTTGAAGAAGGATATGTTAAGCTAAACCTTGAAGTTGTTTCCTACTTAACAGGAAATAGACCAGAAAGAATCCTGCTTCTAAAGTCCAAGGATAAGGTACTAGGTAGCCGCCCCCTGCTATAGTCCTTGAATAAAATTTGTTGGTTTCCCTATGCTTTTCACAAGTTAAGGAAGTACCAGATACCATGGCACATGTTTATCTAGGTTTGATTGTTTTCTGATTTATGTCTCATAGTCCTGCAGCTGTGGTTTTCTGGTGGGAATGGTGAGAAATTGATATGAGGTGTAAATAAATAATTGGATCTATGAGATTGTGTTAATGAGATAGTGCTATGAGTGTGCCCACCTTGGAAAACAAATGTTTGTTAAACTCAGGATTTTGCTGTGCATTGTCGCTTCCCTGGTCTTGGAGTGTATGTGGTCATTCTCTACTAGGAAGCAGTATCCTGGCTGCTACGTAGTCAAAATGTCTACCTGGGGTGGACAACGCCCAGTTGTGAACTCAGAACGTGATATGGTATCAGTACTTAAACCACTGTATGACACTGAATTCACCCCCTAAAATAACTCATACTGGTATTCCTCTGGAACAAATTGCGAATCTAGGGCAGATACACTATAGGGACAAAGGCACTTCCAGCCACTGCAGAGTCTTCAAGCAAAACTTTGTATGCTCCCCATCCATTCCCACCCCCACTCCCCCCGCACTGTCTAAAGATTACTTAAAATAGCGGGCCAGATCTGCTTCCCATTAAGTTCACTCTTTGCTGCCCTGGTTTTTCAAAGTCTTAAAGCCAGCTTAATTGGTTACTTGGGGATTCCCTATCAATTAAAAAAAAATCAAAACCACAAACCCAACCCAGGCTTTTGTGCATGTGAGGCTGGTGGTCAAACAGAAAGGTTTATGATCAAGAAAAATCTTAAGTGTTAAAAAATTCCTTGTTTGGCCAAAGGGAGCCAGACTAAGGATTATACACAGGTCTGAAGATGATATGGTGGTTAACTCTCAGGCTTTGTCCTGACTTTGTCTGGGATAGAGTTAATTTTTTTCACAGTAGCTGGTGCAGTGCTGTGTTTTTGATTCAGTATGAGAATTCCTGGAATGACACATTGATTTCTAGTTGTTGCAAAGTCCTTACCCTAGGGCAAGGACTTCTCGGTGTCTGGTGTGCTGCCCCTGAGCAGGTGCACAAGCACCTGGGAGGGAGACTGGCCAGGACAGGTGACAGGAACGGGCCAAAGGGATTTTTCATACCCTACAATGTCATGGCTCGTGTATAAACTGGGGGAAGTTTGGCTGGAGGGTCTGATTATTGTTTGGGGAGGGGCTTAGTATCAGTCAACTGGTGGTGAGCAGTTGTATTTTTCAACACTTCTTTTTCTTGGATTTTATTTCTCTCTCCTTCTCCCTTTGTATACTATTATTATTATTAACTTTACTTTATTTCAGTTATTAAACTGTTTTTATCTCAACCCATAGGTTTTACCTTTTTTCTGATCTTTTTCTCACCCCATCAGGGACCGGGAAGAGTGAGTGTCTGTGAGTTCCTGACTGGCGTTAAACTACCACAGTCTTTTTTTTTGGTACCCAGTGCGGGACATGATGAGTAATCACAAATCTGACCAGAAGATGTTAAATCAGTCAGAAGCATTCTTTATATTAATGACGTTGCTGCTTCCCACTGTGGGGAGAAAATTTGTGCGGCCAAAGCTCAGCTGGAACTGAAGCTGCCAGAAATGTGGGGGAACAATAAAAAGAGGAACAAAAAAGGAGCCTTTTACAGTAGCAGAAGGCAGTACAGAAAAGACATCAGCCTATTAAAGGATGAGGATGGTCACCTCACAAACAGGGACACAGACAAGGCAGAGGTATTTAATACTTCCTTTGCCTCCATCTTCAACACTGAAGTTGGGCTAAGGGTGTCCCAGTGCCCAAAGCCGGAGGACCATGGCTGTGAGAATGATAAACTCGCAGCTGGATCCCTGCAGTCTATGGGGCCTGGAAGGATTCATCCAAGACCACTCAAAAGAGTTGGCTGATGTCATTGTGAGGCCTCTCTCAATGATTTTTAAATGGTCTTGGGAATCTGCAGAAGTTCCAGTTGACTGGAATCTGGCTAATGTTGTCCCAGTTTTCAAGAAGGGCAGTGAGAGTGACCCTGGAAACTACAGACCTGACAGTCTCACTTCGGTGACTGGTGAAAGTATGGAGAGGATTATTGTGGGAGTTATTGAAAAACACCTGAAGGACAATGCAGATATTGGTCAGAGCCAGCATAGCTTCATGAAGACAAAGTCCTGCTCAGTACCCTCAAAGGGAAAAGATGGTCTCTGGATCTGACAACAAAGTGACTAGCAGTGTAGATACTCCAACTCCAGTGACAGGCATTGCAGCTGAACCAACACATATCTGTGTCAGTCACTCCTGTACGTAAGAAGAAATGGACACAGAAGTAATTTCACAGTAAAGGAAGACGAAGCAGGGCCATCCCAAGACCAGGTGGAAGAAGCAGAACAAAAGATACCTATCGATACCTGAGTGAGCTGTGGGGTTGATATGGGAGATTTTATCTAAGCAAGCAAGGAGATAAAATCAGAATATAAATCTATACTAGAACAAAGGAGTTTAGAACAAGTTACTTCTAACTATAGTATACACAGCTATAAAGTGCAGGCTGTACCTAGATGTGCTGATAGAAAACAAGATGTTCCGGTAGAAAACAGAGAACAGATTGGCCCAAGATACTGGAAGATTACATGTACATTGCATAGATGAAATAAAAAGAGAAGGATTTTTCTCTGACGGTACACATGATAGGTGGAAGGATCCCCCATGCCTCTGGCGCT